AGAGTTTTTGGGTGGAAAGAAAGGGATGGGCCACCCAAGGGAGAGGTCATTGTGCTTGGACTGTAGTCAGTGAAGGAGCTGCCTGATCTCTGCAGAGATCACAGGCCCACAAAGATTAAAAGACAGCCCTGGCAAGCAAAAGCCATTTGTTCTAGCAGCCATTGCCATTTCCCTCAGTCATGCACCTGTGCTCTCTTACTGGCCGATGTGGTTATAAAAACAGCCACCTCTATACACCTGCTTCTCAAAGGCAGCATCCATGTGCATTGCAGACCATATGAACATGTGAAGTTGTTATTTGCAAACTCAGATTATCTATGAATCTAGTCCCTTGAAGTCTAACGCTGACTGGAGTGCAGGGGCTCTCACACAGGCAGGGCTGGCTAAAATATTTTTGCAATCATAGAACAGTAAAGTTGGAGAAGACCACAGTCTTGAAAGCGGAGAGATACTTTTTTCTACAAAAAAGGAGGCCAACCAAAATGACCCTTCATAGACAGTGTCAGGGACTCTAAGCCCAACTCTGTCATTCAGATTGTTCTTTCTTGCTGTATGTTTTCTTTAACACCTAATACTATTACTGCTACACAAAATAATATCTATTTAAAACCAGAGGTATTAAAAAGTGCTTCTCTCTGAGTGTAGGTGTGGTGTTTCACATTAAGAAAGTTGTGGATTCCTCAGACAAATGAACTTCGCCGCTCAGCTGCACCACCTGTCTTGGTAGGCCTATCAGGTTGGTGATCAAATTAAGACTGGAAGCAAGGGCATGTGAGTCTGGGTCCTAAGGTGAGTTTCCTGGTGTGCTTGTGTAGCTTCATGAGGTCATTGTCTAAAGCAGCGGTGCTCAAACTTTTCCACCAGGGGGCCAGTTGAAAGCTGCTGGTGCTGGGCACGGGCCGGAAAGGTGGCACCAGCGGTGCATGCGGGCCGGTGTGGGGGGCGGGGGTGGCGCAGGTGGGTGGGTGCACTTAGGCAGGAACAGGGTGCATGGCGAGGTGAGGTGTGGGTGGGCACGCGTGGCGAGGGGAGGCAAGGCACAGGCGGGCAGATGCGCGCGGCAAGGGGAGACGAGGCGGAAGCAGGCTTGCAGCGCAAGCCGGGTGCACAAGGAAGCAGCTTGCTCGCTTGAAGATTGTTTTCTCTGAGCAAGCAAACCGCTGCCTCCCAAATGGGCATGGTGGGCCGGATCCAGCCCCCGGGCCATAGTTTGAGGACCCATGGTCTAAAGTCAAGCAAGACTGGATCAAGGAAAGCTCTTGATCAGGGACACAAGTGATTTGTCTTATGTGGTCTTTGTTATAGCCTGTGCAAAGTGATCAGAAGAAAGATGACTGTTAACTCTGGTGGAGGAGTCCATATCAAGTTCTCGTGCTAAAATTAAGTGCCAAAGACAGCCGACCTGAGTGCAAGCTTCTAACTGTAAAAAAACAAACAAACCTCTGAACCCACAGAAAATAGGGTCAGAGGGCAGTGGGTATGTGCTGGCAAGTTCTCTCCTGCAGAAAAAAGCTGATTTTCTCTAGAACAGCAATGGCGAACCTTTTAGAGACTGAGTGCCCAAACTGCAACTCAGACCCCACTTATTTATCACAGAGTGCCAACTCTGCAATAAAACCTGAACTTGCTGAACTTGCTGACCACCAGCACAAGGGGGCAACATTCCACTGACCCCCAGCTTTTCGCTGGCCCTGAAAAAGGCATCTGAGTGTATTTCCTACCTGAGTGTATTTCCTACCTTTCCTACCTTCTGCTAAAATCAGTCCAAGCAAATCCCTGGCAGCTCAAAGACGGGCCATGCGAAAGCCTCGCTAATGAGTGAGGACTGACTGTTGCTTGGCATCCTTAATCTCGAATATGTGCATGGCTGCTGGGGGATCGCATGCCAACAGAGAGGTTTGCCATCACTGCTCTAGAATAAATTCCTGGGTCCAGGCTCAACTCTTCCTGCAACAAGAAGAAGAGGTCAAAAACCAGACATATTTTTGCTCAGTGACAGACTACATCCAGGAAAAAAGAGACCTTATAACCTCAAGTTTAAAGTTAAGAAAACTGAGTGAAATAGAGAGAATGTAATGTCAAAGAATTGCCTGAATAAGGCAAGCCAAATCATATATGAAGTAGACAATTGCTTGTACCCAGTTTTGCCATTCAGTATTACCTAAGTTTGTTGACCAGAAGAGATAACCATCCCAGAAAGAGAATCCATCATTATGAGGGCCTCAACCTAGATGAAGAGAGAATTCTCAGAGAAGTGGTCAAGAAGGTCTGTGGCAACCAGGTCTAAGAAAAACTAGGAACATAGGCTGAGATGGCAAAAGAAGAGTGCAAGATAGAAATTAAATAGTTAACTTATTAGGTAAGGCCAAAGAAGCAGTATCAACTAAAACTGGCTACACCTGTCAATTTAATTCATGTTTGTAGCTAGGAGTTTCTTGTTGTTTTTGAAACCTCCATTACATGGTTATGTTTTTCTAGAGATGCAAGTCTTTTTCCTCATGTAATGCTTAGATATGCTAAGAGACAGGTCACATGTTGTGGGGAGTGGGAATGACTGATTTGTTCAGAAATTACTAGTTTTCCACCCTGTTTACAAGTTTCCTTTCATTAGGCCAATGACTTCAAGGTCTCTTAAAAACTTTAAGATCCTTTTGCAGTAAAGGGGATCATTATTCTTTAGCATGGTCATGATCAAAGGGGGAGATGATATAAAATTTCTGATTCTTGATGCTTGAACTCTTTATAACCTTGCTGAGGCTCCCAATGCAAAGAGTGTCCCTCAAGAATTAAATTCTGCTTAAACAGTGATAGAAAGAAATTCACATTTTCTGTGTGTATGAAACACTAGTGTAACAGAAACTGTTCAACTTGTTTTCCAAATGGTCCATGTCCTGGTGTGTGCATGCCCAAAATTCACAACAGGGTAAATTTTTCCTTTGAGAGATTTATTCTCGAGAATAACAGGCTACCAATGAATCATTCCAGATGGTGCACCTGAGCAGTCCTCAGCTGGTCCTTTTATACACTGCTCACTAAAGGGTTACATGTAGCACAGTTAGCAATTTCCAATAGGTTACAGAAATAAGCTATGGCAAATCTAGACAGCATACTAAAAAGCAGAGACATCACCCTGCCAAAAAAGCATGTATAGTCAAGGCTATGGTTTTCCCAGTTGCAATGTATGGCTGTGAAAATTGGACCATAAGGAAGGCTGAGCGCTGAAGAATTGAGGCCTTTGAATTGTGGTGCTGGAGGAAACTCCTGCGAGTCCCTTGGACCGCAAGGCGATCAAACTGGTCAGTCCTAGAGGAGATCAACCCTGACTGCTCTTTAGAAGGCTGGATACTGAAGATGAAAATCAAATACTTTGGCCACCTAATGAGAAGAAGGACTCCCTGGAGAAGAGTTCTATTGCTGAGAACAATAGATGGCAAAAGAAGAAGGGGACAGCAGAGGATGAAGTGGCTAGATGGAGTCACTGAAGCAGTTGGTGTGAGCGTAAGTGGACTCCAGGGGATGCTGGAGGACAAGAAGGCCTGGAGGAATGTTGTCCATGGGGTTGCAATGGGTCTGGCACAACTTTGTGACTAACAACAACAACAACACAGAAATAAGAAGTTACAATGGCATGATCTTTTCCAGTAAAAGAAGATGCTCTGAAGATGGGGGGGGGGAGGAGTGCTATTACATAGAGGAGGAGGGGGAGTGGGCTGGTGTGAATTGCTCTTTCTTTGAACTGCTGTTATCTGTCAAGCCTCAACTAGCTTTCTCTGGACTGGTGCCTGGTTAGTGTCAGCTACATTTCAAGGACATGTGCTGATTTCTACAAAAGAGGGTTTTTTCTCAGGCCTGGTTATGTCAATCATTGCATGATTTAACCACTGAAAGTTATACCTATTGATTTGTACATCAAGCTGAAACAGCATTCTCTGTGTTAATGTCTACTAGCATGAGAACTAGTAGACATGCACTGAGAGGACAATTCCTCACAGTTACACTGTCTGCTTAACTGTCCACCTTAAGATAAGTATGGAATGCAGACTACTTTTTCTAGCTAATAATGCACAGAAGGTGGAATCAAAGTGCAGATGGGATAGGCCAAAACAACCAATGATGATGACTTTGCTCTTGGTATAAAAACATTTGGATTGTTAGTGGAGGGTGCTGCTCTCTCTGAGAAGAGGGCTGCTCTTGGTGTGTGCATGCTTGAATAGAGAGCTTTTTCTGTCAGACCTTGCTATTATTTGTATGTTCTGCAGTCAGACAAGGCAAGAGGACAACAGGAAGCTGTCTTATGCCAAGCAAGACCACTGGCCCCTAAAACCATTTTGATAACGCTAAGAGTGGCTTTCCAGGATTTCAGGCAGGATTCTTTCTTAGACTAACTTGGAGGCTCTGTGAAGCAAGCTTGAGACTTCCTGCAGGCAAAAAATGTATTCTGTCACTGCGCTACAGCCCCTCTTTCGTTTATATTGCACTGTCATGACTAGGCCCTGACAACTTGGTGTCCTGTAGATTAATGTTTTGGAGGACAACTTCTATTAAGTCCCAGTTAGCATCAGGAGTCCTCAAGGATTATGAGAGTTCTAGCTGAAAACATTACAGGGCACCACGCTGCTTAGCTTTGAGCAAATATACAGACTAAGGGCTCTTTGCAAGGGGGTGTGGCATGGGAACAGCAGCAACTGCGAAACGGTAGTCAAGCTCTGGGTATAAACTTCAGTTGGCCGACTGCACTGTTGAAGTAGGTGATCGCCTGAGGCAGCGCCAGCCAACAAATTATTGGTGATATTGTGCACGTCCTGGGAGAGGCTCTGGCTCGCTGTCGAAATAACCTGGCCAGCCTGCTGGTCTAAGGCACAGCCGCCATTTGCAGCTCCGCTTGAAGCAGCGCGCGGAGGGGGAGGGGGCGGCGACTGCTCCGCTGGCTGAGGGGATCGTGCCAGTTGACAGTCACGTGGCGTTGAGCAACCGCCCCGGCTGGTGCGGCGCCCTCATCCGCATTCCGCCGGCCCCGCCCCTTCCCACTCTCGGTCCCTTTCTGCTCCCCTGCGGCTGAGAATCGCGCCCCGCCGCGCAGTGGCCGCGGTCTTTCTCCCCACGAACTGACAGAGGCTCTGCTTGTTCCCATGGCGACCGGGCGACCTTTCGAGCTGGTGGTCTTCGGGGCCTCGGGCTTCACGGGGCAATACGTGGTCCAAGAAGTTGCGCGGGTGGCTGCCGAGGATGAGCTGCGCGGCTCGCTGCGCTGGGCTGTGGCCGGCAGGAACCGAGAGAAGCTGCAGGCTGTGCTCGAGAAAGCGGCCACGAAACTGGGTAAGAAAAAGAGGGACAACAAATATATCTAGCACGGGGCTCTTCACTTCCCTACCGTTCCGCAGTCTCAGGAGGACGATCTGTTTTCTCCATCCCCTCTGTGCCCCCCTTCTGCCGCAAGGGCTTCCCCGTAAATGAAGTCACCCTTGATTACTGGGGAGGGGGCGGGTGAATTAAGCGTAAGCAACACCCTGTGCACATCTTGGATGTAAGTTTCTCTGTGTTGAGTGCTGTTTGTTTATCGGTATAAATATCCAATGGATTTCTGTTTCTTTAAATTATTTATCCGGCCTTTTTTCCTCTTGCAAGGAACTCGAGGTAGCATACATGGCCCTCCTCACAGCAGCCATATGAAGTTTGTTAGGCTGAATCAAAGTTGCCTGATGACCTTCAAGGCTCAGTGAAATCCAGGTCCTTTAAGATGGACTCCCAGTAGTTTCCTTGGCCCTGCCTTTTGTGCTTTCGTGACTGAGATGAAGAGTTGCTGATACCCAGTGGGGACTAACCTGAGTTGGGCCACAACTGCTTTGGTGCTTGATGACATGTCTTGGACATTGACCTTAACATTATAAGCTGGTTCCAGGGTGGTGGAGGGGCAAGAGATAAGGAGAGGATGCCATAGAATGTGGAGGGGAGAATTAATTGTTCAAGGCTAAACTGTGATATAAAGCAGAGCTTGGGCAAAGATTCAGCAAGTCCAGCATTTTGATTCCTGTGTTGCCATGGAATGGTGAACTCAAGTGCTCTACATTCAGAGAAGGCCAAGAACCCACTATTGTAATTTTATTTTACAACACTTTTAAGCTCAAGCGACTTTATAGTTTCAGTGGTGTTCAGTCTTCCAGCAACTTTAGGAGGGAACACAATATTAGCAGAGAGAATTCAGGATGAGAAACAGTGATTTGACAATGGGTGTGTATTGAACTCTGGTTTGCCAATCTCAACTGTCTTACACTGGTTGTGGATGCATGTTTCGATCTCAAAAGACACAGTGCTTCTTTTGCCAGTCCATAGTCATTTCTGATTTGCCAAGAAAGAATATGTTTCACATGACTGTATTGAACTGGTGGTATTCAAGGTTTATTTGCAACCCAGTCCTTTGTATGTTCATTTGAAAGTAGTCCCACTGGACTTACTTTTAAGTAATCTACCTAAGTTTACAGCTTAAATTTCATACCCAAACCTTTAGAAAGAAAAAGCCTTACAACAGCCAGCATTCATCAACCACCGTAGGATTGTGTTCTTAGTGTAGCTGATTCCAACACTGCTGCAGTTCCTCACATTTTTCCTGTGAATATTCCAATTAGTTTAAAATTTTATTTTTTATTTATTTATTTAGTAAGCTTCTATGCCGCCCCATTCGCTGAAGCCTCAGGGCGGTTCACAACAATAAATAAATACATATTAACCATATAAAACAATATAATTGGAGATGTCCTGGCCAAAGATATAAAATCAATAAATAATGCTATCAATTAAAATGAAGTTTAAATAAAAAGGTCTTGGCCTGGCGCCAAAAAACAAATAATGACAGCGCCAGGTGGACCTCTCTGGGGAGCGAATTCCATAGATTGGGTGCCACCACAGAGAAAGCCCTCCTCCGGGTACTTACCCTCCTGATATTCTTCATGGAGAGTTCCCGGAGAAGGGTCTCTCCCTCTGATCTCAAGGGGTGGGAGGGCACGTATGGATGCCTTGGCAGTTTTACTAATATATTTCACATAACACTTGTAGTGTTCTTTTGTTTCACAGCTCTCGGATTCAAAGTGATGGCATGAATAAGATATGAATTGGTTATAATATTGTATACGTAAATAGCTCTTTACAAAATGTGTGGTGCTAAGACTGTTGGATTGGTCTATGGTTGGGTTGCTATTTTTTAAGCAAGCAGTTAAAGACAGAATCACTATTTAATCTGATTTCCAAAACCAGATCTGATAGTGATCGATATGTTCTATTAATTTGCATGAGGTTGCTGTATTATATTCTTTAAATAGTATTCCCTATTTTCTTGAGAGTCTTCTTGTCATGGTATAGCAAGAGGCACTCATATCTTTCCATAGTCATACTTGTCTTGAAAGAGCATATTAGGGGATGAGACTAGATCTTACACAGAAGTAAAATTACTTGTTTACCAAAAGTAATTGGAAATTTAAAGAATTTAAAGTGGGTCTCAATTTGTTGCAGTTCAGTTCCTAGTTAGTTATCAAATAATGGTGAAAAAGAGGACATAATATATTGGAGAGAAATTATCAAACAGTGTTTGGCTTCCTTTATAACACTTCAGTTTTCATTTTCAGGGAAGGCAGAACTGAAGTCAGAAGTTGGCATAATACTGTGTGATGTCAGTGATCCATCCTCTCTTGCCAATATGGCTAAACAAACTGCTATTGTTCTGAACTGTGTAGGACCTGTAAGTGTTCTCTTCTTTTTAAAAAAATGAATATATAAAAGATTGTTATGCTTTAACATAAAATTAAGTTTCCATACTATAGTGCAAGATTAAAATTTATTTTGTAACAAACATTGAATGAAAACAGAAACTTCAAAACATAAAGGGAAACCCTTAATGTTTAATACAGTTAAGCTGAGACTCACCTTATTCTTGCAAGTTTTATTAATTAAAATGTTTATACCATTCCTCTATACTACCATAGTGGTAGTGTAAGTTCATCTTCTCCCTAGGAAATATCCTTCCTATTGAATACTATATTAAATAGATCTGAATATATACTAGGCATGGCTGATTTCTAGAGGCAATTTCACAATTCCATTTGGAAAGTATCAAGAATGCAAAAGTGCCCTTTGAGGGCAGTATAAAGTATGCACTAATGACAATAGTAGTCTTAACTTTCCTAACCATGTATGAATTTGAGCAATTATAATTCTACATAATAAAGACAAAAATGTACTCTCATGATTTCCTTCCCTTATACTTGCAGTTACAAGCAGAGGGTTCTTGTGGCCCCCTAGACAGCATTTAATAGAACATATGAGTCTATTGATGCCAAGATCTGAGGTTGGAAAAAGGCTGCAACCTCAGAGCTGCAGTTTTGTGTTTGTGTGTATGCCCTGCTCATACGCAAGGGAAGAACCACACTGGTTGCTTCCCTGAGGTTGTAAGAGTGACCTTTGAGAAGGGGTAAATGCCCCATTCCTACAGGACATGAGATTGGAGCCACCAGTATACTATATATACTCAAAATTTCCCCAACTTCTGACGTGCCTAGGTAGATGACAGAAATCAGCCATCTAGGTGACTTACCAAATAGGAAAAACACAGAAGCAAAGATTGCCTGCACACTCCTCATGCCCTGCATAAGAAGCATGTAATCCTCTAAGTATGAAGGCCAATAGACATCCGTACTGAATTGCATCCTAACATAGATAGGTGATAAATTGCTATATATGGGAAAAAAATCACATTGCTGGTTCTGCCTTTTGTAGCTTAAGTGTACTGTAGGGGTGGGATATAAGCTTTAATGCTTGATACTTGCTGTTTTAAAAGTTCAGCCAGCTCATTACTGAGGAAAACTTAGTAATTGAAGCTTACATGCTATGCACCTGCATAGAAATTGTGAATAAGTGGTATGGGAAAAGCATCTCTGTCACTGTTTATAAACTCAGGGTAACTTATAATAATAAAATGAAATACATAAAATCATTAGGCAATGTCAACAGATTTATATTAATAAAAATTAACTATTATGTATAAAATGGGTAGTCGTTTAAAAAATCCTCCCTGCTTGTAAAGTTTTTATTTTATTTTTTATATTTATATTCCACCTGTTTTCCTTTCAAAGAACTTAACACAGCTTACATAATATTGCTTTAATTCTGTTTTCATGCATGACTGGGACTGACTCTGATAAATGTTAGGCTACCATGTCACAATAATTGATCTATCTGCCCACCTTCTGACACTAGCCTAGGGAACATAGGGCTTTCAGATCTATGTGCCATTGTGGGTAGGAAGGAGCAGATTGTCAAAGTGCATAGCTTCATGACTGAAAAAATAGATTTCGCCCATCTTTTGTTATACAACTCTTACTATTACTAGGGACCTGTGAAGTGCAGGATTGTTTAGCTATGTATAAATGAGATTGATCTTTACAGATTAGACATAAGTAGGGCTGAAGCACTTAACTGATTTAGGGCACAACCCTGTGGTCTCCTGACATTGTCTGGGAGACCACAGGATAGGCTGAGTCCCAGCTCTGATCTTGGAAAACACTCTGGAGTTATAGCTAAGACTCTTGACTTCAGGGAGTCCTCCAATCCTTCTTGCTGCTGGCACAATTCTTTCTTCCCTGGCTGTGGCTTCAGAGAAGGAAAACCATCATTGAAGTTGGCATGGAGAGGGGAGACTATATGAATGTTTTGGAGGGCAAGGGGAGTACATTGGCAATCTTACCCCTTGCATTCCTTCTGCTTTCATAATCCTCTTAAGATTGGAGGGTTATGGGCAATCACATTGGATAACACCTTTTAGTAGTCATGTTAATCAGACATAAAAATGTTGTCCTTAATTTAACTGGGCAACACATTTTAAAAATCCATTAAATATAAATACTTCTAAAAACGGTAAAAGTTGCACCTAAGAGGAATGTCCTTGTGAGACAGTCAAATGGGAGACAAACTGCATCTTAAGAGAGTGATGTAAAGGCATTATCTAAAACATGGGTCCTCAAACTACAGCCCGCCATGCTGATTTATCCGGCCCGCCTCAGAGCTTTCGGACTTGCTCAGAGAAAATAATCTCCAAGCGAGTGCAGAAGCTCTGAGCTGGAGCAGGCGTACTCAGTGGGGAGATGGCTGCGATCATGGTCACACTCGTGCGGGGAAGATGGGTGCGATCATGGTCATGCTTGGGGGGGGGATGGCCACGATTGCGCCCACTTCCCTGCATGACCACGCCCACAATTGTGCCCGCAATCGCGCCTGCCTTCCCTGCACAAGTGTGCCTGCGATCACGCCCGCAATCGTGCCCGTCTCCCCTGCACGATCATGCTGGGGGGGGTAGGGTGGGGAGATGGCTGCGATCACGGTTGCACTCGTGCAGGAAGACATTTGTCTGTCTCAGTTAATTCAATTAATCACCTTGAATTTCTTGTGATAATCTTATTAAAAATACAAGCAAAACTAAATAGCTTGTTCCATTTCTTAAAGTAGTCTAGTGTAATGTAACTTACCAAACAATCCATTTTATTCATTCTTACAGTACAGGTTTTTTGGGGAGCCTGTGGTAAAAGCTTGTGTTGAGAATGGTGCAAGTTGTGTCGACATTAGTGGAGAACCTCAGGTATGTGGAACAGAGGAAACAATCCAGATTCTTTGGAAGTCATATTTATATTAAGCCACAAAATACATGTTTCTAAAGATTTGACCAAAATAGAGGAATAATACCGTTTTATTTCAAATACTAAACTGTAGCATTCATTTCTCCAAATACCATATTTTTTGCTCTATAAGACGCACGTTTTTCCCCCTCAAAAGTAAGGGGAAATGTCTGTGCGTCTTATAGAGCGAATGTGTGTGTGCAGTAAGTCTGTCAGGTGTGCAGCCCATGGGGAAGTGATGGGGAATATGCCTGTGATTATGTGCCCATTTGATTCAGGATATTTTCTTGTTTTCCTCCTCTAAAAACTAGGTGCGTCTTATGGTCAGGCGCGTCTTATAGAGCGAAAAATACGGTAGTCCTTTGATGGCGTTTGTCTCCCTTCAGAAGCACTTTTTTCCAATGCCCCATTTCTAAAATATAGCAGAAGTGGAGAAAAGTGGTAGCAAGGGATCACCAGTTGTTAAGAGTTTGAGATGCCTAGACCCTGATGCACAATAGTGCTATCATTGCTGCGATGCCAAGGCTTCAGAACTTAATCCAGATTATTTTGGCAAACATCTGTGAATTCTGCCAAAATAAAATAGGAAGGCTCACCTGGGACTTATTTCAGTGCCAAGCAAAAACCTTTCTTTTTCTTTTTTTAAAATCTGATTTTACTAATTTTATATCATCTGCTGGATAAAAATTCTTAAAGTCAGCTTTTAGGGTAGAGTTTAATAGAGAGGCTTGTGATTATATGTAAATAAATATACAACCAAGCAGAGAAGGATTTAATACTGCTTTGTTCAGTGGGTTGCCATGAATGTTACACAAAGCCCTGAAATTTGGGAATAGCAGTGGCAGGGTGGGAAATTAATCTATACTCAAGACTGTCAGAGAATGTGTAGTATAACTCTAAGTGTTTGTTGGGCATTTATAACTGAATGCAACCATTTGTATAACATAGCACTGTATGATAAAGAACTTTAAAATATAGAACAAATGTCTATAATGTTTAAAGGTGAAAGATTAGACAGTGAGTGTGATATTGTGACACAGTTATGGAGATTATCATCTTAGCTTGAACATAAGACAGAGCATTGTGGATTTTTTCAGTACAGTGTTGTTGCATTTCTGTTACAGTTTCTGGAAGGAATGTATCTGAATTACAATGACAAAGCTGCAGAAAAGGGAGTATATATTGTTGGAAGCTGTGGCTTTGATTCTATTCCAGCAGATATGGGAGTATTATATACCAGAAACAATTTGAAAGGTGACTCTTACGTTTGATCACTGTTTTGATAACTGGTATGGAAAGTGTAATATTTTTGGCATGTTTGGGTAGACAGAAGCAACAAGATACCCTATGCTAATTCCCTTTCTTTTTAAAAGAAACAGATATTAGTGCTATAAAATATTTATTTTAAAAGCCTTTTACCATTTTCTTTTTGGCACTGGCCAAGTAAAAGCAGAACAATTCTTGCCCACACCTTTACAAAAGAAATCTCTGCCCACAAAAGGAAAAACTGATGAGGCAGAAAAGAAGGAAAAACAAACTTGGACACCTGTTCTTAAAAATAATTATTAGACTGACCAGCTGTAATAAAGCAGTTCAGAAAGATGAAGAGGCTGATGAAGCTGGTGTTTCAGTAAAGTTGTTGGAGTGGGACTGCTTGCTGTCTTTCACTCTGCTGCAGTCCGATGCAATCTGCTGCAAGATGACACAGTGAAGGGCCTGACAGAACTGGTCTTCCAGTGGCCTAATTGTTTTACTGCCTTCTGCCTCAAACATTCTTTTGTTATGGTCAGCAGGATTATATTTTTAAACTGTGGAGCTATAAATGCCTTCTGCTCCATTTATCTTAAACCATTTCTTTAAAGGATGTGAAGCAGTCCTGCTGCTGCACAGGCAAACTCAGAATTTGTGTTTCTTGCAGGAATAGAGCAGAGAAAGCTGAATAGGGATAGGTACAAAGACCTTCCATTGCTTGTGGGATTCTGATGAGGTGCTGGTACATGTCAGACCAGAAGTAGTGTGTTATGCTTTAGGCATTATCTACTAAATGTGGGCACTGTGTCTTTGTGGGTGAAGAACACAAAGTCCTGGTTTGCATGCAAGGTCAGCAAATCCTGAGTTGTTTAACTCGGGAATTGCAAGGGACAAGTGCTGCATGCAAGCCATTTCTAATTTTACTCAAAAATCTAGGAAGTCCAAACATTGCTTAGAGGCTAAACATCTATGGGCAATTATTTGGTTAACTCTGGATCATTGCATGCTTGATTTGTAGTCACAGTGTGAGAGGACTGTGTAGTTGAAATTAGGTATGGTTAATGTTCAGTGCCAAAAGAAATCTTCAGGTGAAGTGGTGAATGAACTGGGTTGCCCTTTCATTCTATATTCATGAATGCCCATGTGAATTAATCATTCTTGCTTATAAATATACACTAATATGAAAATATTTTAATGCCAGAAGTGCCATCATTTGTCTGCACACCTGAGTATAAACTGCTCTCTAGGTCCTTATGATCTCAAATAATGATTTAACTCTTTCCCTTAAAGGTACCTTAACTGCAGTTGAAAGTTTTCTGACTGTAAAGTCTGGCCCAGAGGTTGGTTAACTTTTTTTTTTTTTTGCTAAGTGTGCAGTATGTATCTGTCATATAGGCATATAAAATGAAATTATTTTTTGCGAGAATAATAAAACACTTTCCATTAACAACTGGCCATTGTATTAGTGTATGTTGCTTGTTCTGGCATAGTTGCAGTATGAGAGTAACACAGCATCAGTTTGTGATAGCCCAACCTGAGCATGTGTTTGTGTTATCCAACTGCTGGGTGGCAAGTGAGACTATTTGCTGCTGCTGCATCCAAATTCCACAGCAGTGCATGTTGTGTTCCCATCATTGCTGTCAACTCTCAAAAGCACTGATCAAGTTGAAGGAGTATGAGATTAATCTACACATTACTTTGATATACTCTCAGCTACTTGCTGCTGTTAGAACTAGGCACACATATCTTTTTGAGGGCTGTGGGGGGCATGAAGCACAGAATTAGCTGATGAAGCACAGAAACAGTGATACTCTGATTTCACTTCTGAATCAGACTCAGTGTCTGTAGTGATAGTGTTGCAGGTTTTCACTATTTGGGGTCAGTTAAAGCAATTAAGTAATTAAAAGTAGACTTGTACTCAAATATGATACTTTGAATTAACATGATATTTCAACAGGGTGCTAGTATTCATGATGGGACCTGGAAATCAGCTATATATGGCCTTGCAGATCAAGACAATCTGAAGAAACTTCGAAGGCAAATAGGACACAAACCCCTTCCAGTGATTGGAGCAAAACTTAAGAGAAGGTATAAGATATTTCTATACATGATTGTACCCTTTTAATTTTGAATGTTTACATAGCTCAAGTCTGCATGAAAGTAACTTTTCAAGGGTTTTTTTTAAGGAATCATGGTAAAGGCCAAGTTATGGATAAAGCTTTAACTTAAAGACATTTTGCTAAGCTTTGTTTTAATTGTCATGGTTTCTGTTTTTGCAGAGGAGCAGTGTTTTACAGTAATGAACTCAAACAGTATTCCATTCCATTTATGGGATCAGATGCTTCTGTAGTAAAACGAACTCAACACTATTTGCACACACATCTGCAGGAAACACCTGTAAGCTTACTTAAACATTCATAACATTAATTTTGCCCTGTTACAACAAAGGAACTTGCGTTCTCACCTTTCTGCAAAGTAGAACAGCTTGGAGAAGTGCTTTTCTCTTTAATTGTCAACAACTGCCATTCCATGTGAATTCTTTTAAATCTAGATGTGAAATTCAGATACTGGGTATCCTGAAGAGGAGTCAGTGTTCAAGCAAAACTCATTGCTTAACTGCATATTTCTAATGTATGTATTAAAGGATGCAAGTTAAAACAGCAGGAGAAATTAGCAATTGCATACAAACACACTAATTTCTGAAGAATATTACATGGATACAATTTTTAAGAGAATTCAGTATTTACATAAAACATCCTTTGTATACATAGTTACACAGAACTGCTCTGGAAACTGAAGCAAGCAGCAGCCTTCAAGACAAAAGGAGACAAAAACTACTCTGTTTATATGCAGTCCGGGGGAGGGGGGGCAGTGATTGGCAGTGTAGATACAAATACCCAATCAAAAGGCAATAAATGCATATGTAAAGTGTTTATAGACATGCATCCGTTTGTATTGGCCATTCACAGGAACTAGGGAGAAAAGTTGTGTATAGGAAAGTTCTCTTAACATTAGGAAGGAAAGAAAAGGTTTGTGATAGAAAAAAAAAATCTTTGGGGACAGAGGGCTGGGGGTGCAGTTTGTCCCACATGCCTTCAATTACATAACTGTATCTGAATATGTGTGTCATTTATACACTTCATTCACAAACAGGATTGTAGTGCACGTGTCTTTCAAGGCATGTGCTACTTTATGAACTTCCAGAACGGGTGTGCTGTTGGGTTTTTTTTTTTTTTAAACTACTGAATGTTCCCCACTGCCTCTTGCATAGGAGTGTTTTTATAAGAGCTTTTTAATATAAACAAATGAAATGATAGCAAAGCCATTGTTACCCCTCCAGAGCAATGCCATGGTATAAGTTTTAGTAGGCTGGGCATTCTTCACCTTTCGGATTCTTTTTCTGTACCTGTGTCTAGAAATATTTTTACAAATGATTAAGAACATGCTGAAAACTCAATCATATTCAGCCATTTTTGCATTTACTCTTTGTCACCCATACGGGGTTTGATTTGTTGTGTGTTATTGCTCTTGAGATTTGTGTTTGTCAGAATAGCTAATGTGTGAGTAACTTTTGAAGACGAACTGACAGTAACTGTTAACTGAATTCTTTCACTCAGGTGCAGTATGCTGCTTACACCACTGTGGGTGGCATTGGATCCGTTATTAAGCTAATGTTTGCTGGCCTTTTATTTTTAATGCTTGTGAAATTCAGCTTTGGAAGAAAGCTCCTGATAAAAGTAGGTTGGTTTTTAAATATTTTTGAAAGTTAATAGTCATATTCTTTTGAAACTTACTGTGTGTATTTTCTTTCTTTAGTACCCTGAATTTTTTTCTGGAGGATATTTTACAAAGGAAGGACCAACAGAGAAACAGGTAATGATTTTTTTATTAAGTTAGCCTATATACCACTGTATTTTATGTAATATAAACAAATGGTGTCACATTGATGCAACATTTTCCTGAAAGAAAATACTATAAAAAGAAGAATGTTGATATACACAAGGATATCCAAGTACTGCCACTTGGAATAGACAAATACAAGGATGGAATTCTGATTGTCATTCAGCTATTAATATATAGAAAACCATAATGTCAAAAATACTATCAGCTAGCTTAGGAAGGGTGCCATCCAATGCGGCTGCATATACCATATATAAGGGCATATAAGGTGACTCATGTTTAAGATGAGGTCGATATTTTGGGCTGCTTTTCTGGTTTGTCAGATGAATAAGATGACACCCAATTTTTGCTTTGCTATTTTCGGTTTCAAAGTTTGTTTTATAGGCTGGTATATATGAGTATTTGTCAGCTGGAAGCATCTAGACTCTCAAGACATCACATTATTCTAGCTTAATAGTCATGTTACCTCTCTGATTTCACTTGAGCTCACATGTGAGTCTTCCATATGCCTTGGCTCATATCTGTATGAAAAGTAACACTTCAGTACCATATCTTGAAATGTGTATACCTTTTTTTGGCACCCACAGCATTAAGTAGTTAAAAACACTGAATGTAATTATCCTCAAAACACATCAATTGGGTTGTAATTAAATGATATTAGTAATCAAGTCTGCTTGATGTAAGTATTGCTATCACCTGGACACCTAATAATGTTTATTTCCTGCCCTCTGAACTGCAGATGGAAGGATCATCCTTTGAAATGACCTTTTTTGGTGAGGGATACATTACTGGCCAAGATCCAGAGCAGGGGAAACCAGATGTTAAAATCTGCACTCAAGTGAGAGGACCAGGTAAAGCAAAACTATTGTAGTAAATAGCCAAATAAAAAACTTGATACATTATATTTACTACCAAATCTAAACATTGCCTAAATTTAGCCCTCTTCTGTAATCAGTCTTTTTTAAAGCCTCTGTTTGTATCTCCATTTAAAGCTGCTGTTCAGGCTTTTAAAAAGCACTAATCCCCAGTTTAGGCAACTAAAACCTCTTATTGAAACACATACACTAGGGTCTGACTTCATATTTGTTTTCTAGTTTTATTACAAAAAATGTTGTAATGCAAATTAACTGGCTTAGAATGAAATCTTATGTGTGTTTAGACTGAAAAAAGTCATACAGTTCCCAGCACATACCAACAAACCATGCAAGTTAGGGGATACTGGGAGTTGTATGATGTTTTCTGTCTAAACATGCTTGCTGTTTTGTCCTTAGATATAAATATTCATGAGTTGAACATTTGTCCAGCAGACCTTTCCTGTCACTTCTGGAGAAGTTGCTCCTGAGGCCTCCAAAAGTGCATGAGAGTCATTTTGAATGAATGAGTGTGCTCTACTCATTTAATAGCACCTTTGGATTCAAGCCACTGATTGTAATATATAGTTATGAGAATCTATGCATCAGTATGAGTTCATAATACAAGATAGGAATCTTAATGATGTTATGGGGCCTATGCAGGTCAAACTGCAGATGAGCACGTATCTGTCCCGCTTGGCTGCATCTTAAGGGGTAGTGACACTGCAAGGCCCACTTTCATCAGCTTGGCTGGGACCAGTTGCCATCTGGCTTCTCCCTCTCCTGAAGTGACCTGGATGGTTCTTTTACATTGCTAGGCAACAGTATGAAAGTTGCTGTCTAAATATGTGGCTTCTCTTTCATTTTTTTGTTCTGTATTATGTTTCAGATTAAGTAGTTACTGTAAATTTTGAACTCCTTTCAGTGCTTTAGCAGAAGGATGAGAGATAAAAGTAAACAGATGTATAGTCTGGAAAACAATTCCAGTAGCCTAGGAGGAGCAGGAAAAGTACTGACCTAAGAACAAACTAATATATTAGGCACCAAACCAGTTAGCATGCGATGGTGAGAACTTGAGTGATGCGTAATTAACTAATTAGTTAACTGGGGCTTATGCTGCATGTGAGCTGCTACTGCTTTGTATCGGCAATCTTTAATCAAAGAGTGTTGAGTGATATGCAGATCCAGACTCTGGCTCATTTATGAATTAAACAGCCCACAGTGAACTGTTTAGAAAAACTCTTAAGTTGTTTAATTGATGAATAACCCACGGTGTATGGGTTTGCATGTCACAAAATAATATATGGTCAGTTTGAGTGTGCAAAGCAGAGGCAACTCATAAGTAGCATGCAGTCTGACAAATTATGGGTTATTCAGTGCACAATTAACTACCATGACATGTGAACACAACCAAAAAAGCTATCATCTTATACTGTCCTGCTATTAGGCAGTAGGGAAATGAAATTAATAGTAATTGTAAATGTCAGATGGGACTTAAATCAGTTGGGTAACTTATAAACTCATGCACAAGGTTCAAGAGAGAGCTGTAGGTTCTTTCAGTAAGGTCATGGTGCAACAAGGGATTTAAAGGGATGTTACATATGGTTTCTGGTATGCAGAATTATCCACGGGTAATGAGTATAACTGGGCTGTGGGGGTTTGCTTGTTTTTATCTGTTTGTAGAGGCTGGCTATGTTGCTACACCCATAGCAATGGTTCAGGCAGCAGTAGCACTTCTGAAGGACAAGAGTTCTCTCCCTAAAAAGTGAGTCCTGGGGGGTTTTTTTCCAGGGGTGTGAAACACTGTCTTATGTTAGCTTATTTCACCTACAGATCAAGGTTGCCCTGTCACAGCATGGCAATAAGCTCCCAGGAGGTTATACAGCCAATTCTTCTGCTTGATTATAGTGCTCTCAAATAGCTAGGATGGAATATTCTTGATAATTCTCTGAAAAACTTACTGGTTTGTAAATCCTGCAGAATGAAGAGGTTATAGAACTCTACACTATTGTCATTATTCCCTCTTATTTTATAAGCCAGCATTGTATACACTTTCTCAGCCACTGTTTATTCAAAGCTGGCATAGATTTGGCTGCCTGTACTAGAATCAAATTAGAAACAATAAGCCCATGGTAATATGACCTTCAACTATTTTTTCTGACATTTAGCTGTGCTTCATTTTCGGAAGAGATTTACATTTTGTGTAAATTTTGTGTTTTGTGGGATTTTATCAAAGAGGAGGTAAAAATAAGTTAATATCAGAAATGATTGTATGGGGAGTGATTTTACTTTACACTGAAAAACTTAAAGCCATTGATTTCTTAATTGATAAACATTGATATAATGGCTTGTAAATCACAAAATTACTATATTACTTGTTCATTCATTTGAAATATAAATTTTCAGATATTATAGAGCCTTCAAGTTTATACCAGAGTTGGTGTATCAAGTGTAGGATTTCTAAAGTATTTTAGGTTGTTGTCTTTTTCACCTGGAAGTAAATCTCATTGCCTTCAATTGGGCTTACTTCAAGTAGACATAGAGGATTCTAGTGATCAGGTTCATAATGTCTGAGTTTGCATCTCATGAAATAGCTTCTAATCAAACTGGTGCTGGCACATGACCCCAGTAAATCATGGTTTAGTTACCTACTGAACTTTCCCCACACATACTACTTGACCTCAAATAGTGAACTTATTGCTGATAGTTTATAGTATCATGATCTGTCTGTCTTTGGTTTATATTGAGGCGGGAACTTCTTTACTTAAATAAAACAGGATTATTTTGTCCATTTGCATGCTGGTTGTTGGCAAAAGTTTAGCCTTGCTTTGACAGTGGCAAGTGACTAACAAAAACTGTGGCTCTTTTACAGAGGTGGTGTCTTTTCTCCTGGGGCTGCATTCTGTAATACAAAACTTATTGACAGACTGAACAAGCATGGAATTGAGTTTTCTGTTATTAGCAAGCCTGAAGCCTGAGAAAACATTCCAAGGAGACAGCAGGTTCAGCAAACCTTTCTATGATGTTTGCATAGAAAAAAGATCAATTAAGAAGGGTTGCTAAGTTGAATACCATACTTATGCTTGTTTTTATATGCAATGCAAGCATCTCTTTCATATTGCTGCTTGAAATGGGAGTAAAGTAGTACTGCATTTTCACAGCCAGAAATGTTTATAAGGGAGTATTGTAATACAGCAGTGTTTAATCTAATGAAAAGATTTAGTGCTAGGACCATAATTCTTAGGAAAAAAAGGCTTGAAACTAAGAAAGAATTGTCTAAAATAACTTGATAAAAATTAAGCGCTAGCTATGGTAATTAGTAATCTGTTTCATTTAAAAAAATAGTAACTATGAAAGTATCACTTTTTGTTTGGAATTGTGAAAGTTGTTGCTGATTTTATTATAAAACTGTGCCTTAACTGACTGAGTATTGGAGGTAGGAAAGGACTGTTTTTGAAGCCAGCTTATGTCCCAAAGGGGCATAAAGGCTGGCATCAGTGTTCCATTCATTTTGGTTCAGTGTCCAAGGACTCTTTCACAAACAGGCCTCTACCCAGCCATGCTTAAAGTTGTCATCTGTACTTACTTCAAAATAAGCTCTGTAGTCCACTGAGCTTCAATGGCCAGTGACATGTATGTTTGGTCAAATGAGTCCAATTAACACCAGTGGAGCACATTAGGTGGGCTGCTCACAGTGTTTTTTCTACATCAAAGCTTGGGTTAGTAGCACTTAGGCTGTTTAAATAGTAGCTTCATAAACATAGATGTGGCTCACATTTCTTTCCTGTGAGATAACTTCAGGATGGGAAAATAAGGTACTAATGTCTAAAGAAAACTTTCTAGCTCTTGTAACTTCCTTTTGTTCTTTTTCAATGTAATAAAAGAAGATTGCAAATCTGCTTTGTTTCTGTATAATTTATTAGCATTGTCCAGTATGATCAAATACACAAATATATTTCAAACCAATACTTTTAACTGTGAGCAGTCTTCAAAAAGTTTCCACACTTTTATATTTTATATATTTTTTGCTGATGGCATTAAGAAGTTGGTATGATGCTAGAAAAATGCATTGCAAAGGAAGGTGACTATGTAGAAAAGTGATGTAAATTGTCTTTGAAATTTTTAATAGAGTTTTAAAAAGTATGGAAACTTTTTGAAGACTCCTTGTAATAGCAAAGATAATGGACTATAATTAGAATGCCAGCTGTACTTCCTTTTTTAAAACCCTAATTATAGGTGGGATTTTAAGACCCTTATAGCTAAGGACCAAGGCCCTTTGTGGTATGCATAAGCAAGTTACCAGTATTCCCTTCCAGCTGCTGAGGCATCCCACCATCACCTTTAGGGCATGTGAGTATCAGCAAACATAAAGGAGCTGTGGTATGAAGGGGTCCACCTGAATTCATTATCAGTTTGGAAGCAAAACAGTCACATACCAAAAAAGGGAAAGGGAAAAAAGGCAGCAGTGTCCTTAAGAAGCCTTGCAAAATCTGAATATTCTAAAATCTCTATTAGGCAGCCAACTCCCCTAGCATTACAGCTACTCTCCCTCTTTTTTCCCTTCCTCTCCTGCTTCCTTTTGAGACACCTGAACAGGCTTCTGTTTCAACCTGGGAAACACTTCTAGAAAGTGAGGATTCACTGCAACACATGCTGTACATTAGAGTAAAAGTAAAGCTGAGGTTTTGTATTTATATCTTTGGTTAACATTGGCAAGAACTAAAGACAACATGAAGTGCTGGGTGTGTGCATTCATGTTAAATTCCTGGGCTGACATGTTTCTTTGGGGGGAAAAAAAAACCTCATGAAACTGAAGCAGTTGGATCCTCCTCAGCTATTGCAAATGATCTCCGGTGAGTTCTTGATTTATCTTCCAAAACAGTTTATTCTAAATACAGTACTGTCCTGTTTCTGAAAAGTTCTAAAAAAATACTGAAGTTTCTGAAGGAACAATTCTTTCTGTGTCCTCAAGCGAGGCGAAGTGTGGTGTTTCATGGGACAATTGCCTTCCCAGTGCAGGCACACTTGCCAAGCCTGAGACAGTGCAGAAGGAAGAGGCTCGTGTCCTTCAGTCCACCTTGTGGAGTTCTAAGGGTTTGCTTAGGGAAAAAGAAAAGGTGCATATGAAGCAAGACTGACCTGTACTAAGTAGTGGCCTGCACTTTGTCAATTGTGCACCAGGTGAGGCTTGTAAATATATCTATGATGCCCCAGTTAATAATGAAGCACAAGACATTCTACTTAATCACTATTACAATTATTACATTAAAGCACCATTTTATTTAATATACTATAATGCCTTCATGGCTTGCTGTAGCCTAGCCCTTCTCGTTTCTTTTTAACTATTAAGGCAACATCATTTTTCAGTTTACTTATATTTAACTCAAGTTGTTCTCCAAAATCCTTTAACATGTGCGATTGTCTCTCAGCAAAAAGTCGCAGTAGTTGAACATTATCTTCTTCCTGGAACCAAAATAAATAGGGTTTTTCGTGCAATGCAAACTGCATTATTAAGGAAAGAGTCATCTACCCTTCAACAGAAATATGAGAAATAGAGTAGCTGGCACTAACAGATGGGCAAGTTATTCAGCAAGAAGAATCATTTCTGACCAAAATCATAGCCTAACCTAACATGGTAAAAACCAATCTACAATTAGTGTACATCCTGAAACAACCTTTGGGAGTCAGAAAACAGTTTTTAAAGTCTTCATTTCTTGGCTCCCCAGTTTGAAGAATGCTTGGACATTATGAGAGTAGTAGCATTTAGTTATAAAATGAGTTGCAAGTCTAAGAAGGATTTCTCAGATTCATTGAAGATTGTTCACAATAAAATAGCACAACCTATTTCAAACAAGGTTAGAATCAACCCTTTTCATATTGATACAGAGGCATACGTGTGCACACACATACCGGAACTCTGCAGTGCTTTAGTTTCAAGAACTGTCCTCTAATCACATTCATATTTTGGTAGAAGGCTTTCAGTGCTTTAGCAAATTCAGCATCACAGCTTATGCGAGAATTGCGTACTGGGCGAGTGTCTTTTGCTGCCAATGGGGTTATTTTATTAGCTTGGTTTTTCATAGAAGATTTTAAGGTCTTGCCTAGAATTGTTTAAAAAAAGAATTATATCAACAGACACATCATTGGCATGTAGTTGAGTTTCTTCTATTAAAAGTACACAAGTAGGACTCAACACAAAATATTGCAACTGTTAAACCAGCTTGGCCTGCCAGTTTTGAGGATACTTTACCCCAGCCACCTGGCTTTCTGTTTCTTCCCGTTGACAGACACTCAGTATTGTATGGCCATTGAGCATGTTAAATCCTCTGCAGAAGTCAATTGTTATGGGGGGGGGGGGTGGATTCCTCTAATGTTTTTATACAAACTTTGGGGCTCTCTAGATGCCTGTGCTTCAACACATCAACTGGTGGTTCCCATACTTACCCTGCAGCTGTCAATCATTCAGTGGTTTCCCAGCTTTTGCACTTTCTTCCCATTCTAAAATCCCCATTCTCCTATGACTTAGTTACTGGCATCAAGAACGTCATTCTCAAATATATTAGCATTTTGTGTATGTTGAGGCCCACTCCTTTTGCCATGCTCACCATTGGAATGTGACCTCAAAGAGCTGCCCCAAAATTGAATTTGAACATCCAGCTGAAAGAGGTTCAACATGCTTGAGTTAGGGAGTGGGTGGAAGGAAGGCAATATATTAATACCTGGGTTACAGCATTCTTCCTGCCACTGATGACTCCCCCTTCGGAAATCTGCACTAAGTGTGTGAAAAGTGAGCTCTTCATATTCAGTACTGTTGAAATTCATAGCTGAGCCTAAAAGCAAGACTTTTATCTGGGGATTTGCAGACTTTATGTTCTCAGTTTCAATCAATAGGTGTAAAATAATACTTTCAGTCAGTTATCGTAATTAGGACAGCTTGACCAACCTGTGTAACATTGAACTATGGGTTGCAGATGTACCAAAATCTTAGCTGCAAAGCTGTGTTAAATCTCCCTATTCACACAACAAAATCAAACAGAACATCCCACCTTCTGAAACCAGTTAAACAGAACTCCAGCAGTATCCATTAAAGCATATCTTAGTGGTCATAAGAGGTTGAAAGTATACCATGATTAAAGAAGCAATAAGGCATAAGGTACTTACCTAGTTGAATTTCTTTCTCACATGCTTTCAATTTATCCTTCAGAAGTAAATTTTCTTCCCTTAGAGCTCTGTTAATATCTCTGAGTAGTTCGGTTTCTTGCTCTAGCTTTTGTAGCTTTTGGTAAAGTTCAGCAAATTCATTTTCTGTGTTCTTAAAAAGAAAGATACATTATATACATATACACATTTATTAGCTCGGTGGGCAGTATAGAAATAAAATGAATAAATATGTATATATCTTACATAAACACACAAGTTCATGTGGATAGGCCCCCCTCTATTGAAATAATTTTTCTGGAAAAACAGTTCCAAGCAGGTATCTTTAAATGAAGGAAGAGTGCCTTACTGCCCACAGCAAGAGGAGTTTCACCTCCTTACATACACCAGGATGAAAGGCAAGGGCCTAAGTCTTTCTCCCCAGTCTCCTCCCTCATTGCTTCTTCATAAGTAGAAATGACCTCTGCCCAGGACACTTCTCCTGTTCTGTTCAGAAAAATGCTGAGGGTCTTGCTAAGGATGGTTTTGCCTGCTAATTCCCACAAAAAGAAGACTGACAGATTGGGTAAACAGATTGTAAGTATGAAACAAGCAGAAATGAGGCTTGTTAGGGACAGCCTGAGGTTGGTGGGACAGAAGCAGATCAGAACTTTCAACATCCAATGATGTAGTTCAACAACCCTCATACCTGTTGTGAGAAGTGTTTGAAACTTGTTCATAGCCTGGTATTGTCCTTGATCTCATTTATGTGAGAATGCCAGTAATACACTCACCTGGGCAGCATGGCTCAGAACTTCAGCCTTAGGGTTATCAATGATGATGGAACCCTCACTTGTGACAGCCATGCCTTGCTGGGAGAAGTCAAGTTCAACACATCCTTCTGCAGTATTGGGAAGATGTTGCACAGTTAAAGGCCACGTTATCTCTTGCACATCCATGTTCTAGACCACAATATTTAGGACACAATGGCAATTCTATACCACTGCTATGATAAAGATACCATTAATTGTACTTTAATGATTGGTTATGATGAATATGGCATTGTGTTGGGCTGACATTTCCACATGCTTGAAAGGGTCATAAAAACATTTTCTTTAAAAAGTATGACATTTGATAGCCTGAGGTGCCCTTCTTCCACCAAAGCTGTAGAAAGTATGTCACCTTCCCCCTATGGCTTGCTCCTTTCATCTTATGCTTTTAATTTGTTGTTTCAGATGTCTGTCAGCCCTCCTGGCATGATGTGCCATTATGATATTGCACACACACAGTATCCAAGGGAAACAAGGAAGTTGGGTGCAGCCCTTGGGAGTAGCAGCTGCTCTGGGGTGGAGTTGGTGTGGATTGTTTAGCACTGTGACATTCTAAAAACCCTTTCAGTTATAAGGTGTGAAGATCCTCTTTCAGCCCAGGGACTGGATTCAATTTTGGAGAGGTTCTTGGAGCTGCATTCCCATGAACTGGTCACCAGCCATCTGGCAGGATGTATGGAGGAGGATGAGAGGGACCACAGGGCCATTCCACTAGACCTGCAGAAGACCTCCCTTCCGCAGGCTCCTCCACCCTCAACTGTCACTACTGCCACCCATTCCATCAGGATGAACCATGGGAGATGAAAGCAGGAAGCAGGATCATTCCACTAGCCCAGCTGAAAGATATTTTCCCCATTTTCTACCCCATTTTCTTTTCCCTTGTTAATAGTGTCTTTTAAGATTTTTTTTTAATTGTAGGACTGTCTTACATCTTCATGTAAGCTGCTGAGGAAGCCCCTTTTGTCTGAAGAATGCCATAAAAAGGCTTCCAATAAATAATAACAAATCCCAGTGGGTGGCCAGGCTGAAGACAAAAGGAGGGTGGCCAGAATGCCTGCATGTCGTATCTTAAAGCTCTTACTGCTGATAACTATCCTGCAAGAAAGGCTTGACCGTTCAGAGTGGGGTGGTGGGACTGCACAAAACCCAGGAAAACCTGTTGGAGGGCAGGATGTGTTCCAATGGGGCAAAGCTCAAGGAAGCAGGCTTGAGGTTGGATGTCAGGAAGTACTTCCTGAGGGTTAGGACCCCTAGGATATGGAATGGGCTTCCAAGGGAGGTGGTTGAGGACCCATCAGTGAGGGTGTTCAAGGAAAGAGTGGACAACCACATGTTGGGGGTTACATGAACGGAGCCAGCTGGAGCCAGGGGTCAGACTAGATGGCCCAGGAGACCACTTCTGACTCACTCCCCCCGACTCACTCCCCCCACGATGTTTCTGGTTCATACATAGCTTCATCAAAATAAAGTAAGCGGAATACCTTGAAGACCCCACAAGTCAATAATTAAGGCATTTTTCTGCAGATAGTTCAAAAAGTCATGGGATGTCTTCATGGCTGAAAATGTAACTAGTTCTTCTATCTTTGGATTCACATTTTTCCAAGCAGGCTTTGTGTATAATGTGTGTGGGAGATCATAAACTTTGTATCTATAAATGGAAAAAGAAACAACCAAATTATAAAACAAAATTCATTCTCCAAAGAGATCAACTGCTCAAAAGGACAGACTATGTTAATCATGGATACAGAACAACATTCCAAGGATAGCTATTGTTCCTTACTATATATATGATCATGTGTGCATATATTGCACCCTGATTTTCGAAAATTGTTTCATCTTTACTTTAGCACCATTGATTTCATTTTTTAAATGTTTTGATGCTCGTTTTTCTAGTAAAGATGTTGTAATTTCTAAAAATATTTACTTTTTTCAAACTTGCAACATAGTTTGAATCCTGTTTAAAAGTACCACACTTCATTGGCATTAATTTATAGGTTAGTATATTTAGAATTACAGCCTTTGGGCACAGTTCACTGGAAAATCCTATTAACTGAAATAAACAGAAGCTCCACATGAGTTTCTATTCACTTGCAATGTATTTCTGTAAGTTTCTTCTGTTTTTGTAAGATTTGGAAGTGGGATTTCTTGTGCAAAAGTGGAATTTCATGAAATGAGAAAATTAAATAGGTTAAAGATGAAGTTTGAAAAGCATGAGCTTTCTTTACAGCAGCCCTTGGAATCACAGTGGGGAAAACCCTATGCACCATTTATGAAGCAATTCATGTTCTAATTGGCAAGAAGAGACCAGTGTGGGTTCAAGTCAGAAACAAGAATTGATTCAAATGCGTATCTCCTGACTTATAAACTGCTATGTAGATGCTCCCTGTAAGACCACCATCTTCTATGGTTCATCAAGACATGTGTCTCCATTTGTTGAAGAAATACAAATACTCAATATTAGAGGCAGGCAGCCATCAGGCTAGTTGGGTCTACTGATTTTTTTTTTAAACTAGAACTTCTTGTGTGGTTCAAATGACACACATTTCAAATTAAAGAATTCTGATGATTTGTTTAGCGATCTAAAACGGAAATGAGTTCACAGTTCACAAACAAAAATGCAATCCTTGCTATGTGAAACTTCCCTCATTTTAGCAGTATATTTTAAGGTTGGAAATGAGGTGATATTGTTGCTGTTATTGTTAAATGATTGGATTCTGAATAATTTCTAATCTACTGTAAATCACCCAGATACAGATATCTGTTCAATGCTATCAGAAAAATATTACTATCTTGGGTGACACTTGCAAAAGAAACTGAAAATGATCTAACCGAAGTTCCATACCCAATCTGAATCCCCCTCTGGGGTACTTCTTTAATCCATTTGACTCCAAGGCATTGTACAATATTAATTTGGAAATCAGTTCTTTTGCCCAGCAATTCCAAAGGATCAATAACCATATCATCCTCTCCCAAGGCTCTATTGTGGAAAACAGGTTAAAAATACTGATTAATAAGCAAAATGGTATTGACACTGGCCTTTGGATGTAATATTGTTGAACTAAAATCAGAATCTGATGAGTGCTATGTCTGCACTGAGTACCCCGCCCCCAAACACACACCTCACTAGCTTAGATTCAATCAGCAAATATAGAAAAGGGGGGGGGGGGGGTTGCCTCAACATGCATTTCTTTACATTTGCTTACATTAAATTTAATTTGTCATATTGATGTCTATTATCCCAGCTTAGGGAAGTCCTTCTGAAGTTCTTTGCAGCCTTTTTTCATTTTAATCATCATGCATAATTTGATGTTATCAACAAATTTGGCAACCTTACTGTTCACTCCTAAGTCCAGATCATTCTTGTTAGTCTAACTAACAAGATTAGTCCGAAGACGAAGCCCTGTGGGACCTACTGCTTACACCCCGCCCTCAAAGTATTTAACATTGATTCCTACTCTCTGCTTTCTGCTCTTTAACCAGTCGCTGAAGCACCTACATTTGTTCGGGAATCTTTGCTGAGGTACTTTGTCAAAAGACCTTTGGAAGTCCAAATAAACAATGTCTACTGTATCATCCCTGTCCACACCTTTATTAGCATACTCAAAGGACACTAAAATGTTAGTGATACAGGATTTACTCTTGTGGAAGTCATGCTGATCCTTTTTCAGCCGAGCTTGACCTTCTACATGCTTACTCTTGCTATCTCAGAGTTCATTGGCCCGTGTTTTCAATTTGTCTTCAGCGCAGGAACTTTATCTTTTGTCACCACTTCTTGCCTCTGTTCCTCAGACTCGCATCCTGGAAACGTGTGTTCAGGCACAGGTATCTCCCCTACTTTCCTAAATCAATGAAGGCTGATTTTTAAAAATCAGCTTCTTTAGAGTCTCATTCTCCTTTAGTATCCCTTGAACCTCACTGTCATCCAACAGTCCAACTGCCTCCCTAGCTGGTTTCCTGCTCTTGAAATAGTTTTAGAATGCTTTAATATTGGCACTGGCATTGTTGGCAATATGCTACTCAAAATGGTTTTTGTCTCTTTTATTTTCTCCTTGTACTTTTTTGATTCAAGTTTGTGTTTCCTTTTGTGCTCTGTCCTTCTCCTTTTGTATGGCTGCAAGGAAGGGAGCAGAAAGTATTGCTTCCATTACATTTAACTATAGTGTGTCATTTTGTCTGAACCAGGGACTGCAGTTGTTTGAAGTATCCAAACAAGCCAGGAAGACAAACCATTATTTGAAGTTGATTTGTTCAAACAATGCACAGTTAAAGCTCACAACAGTTCCTGACATAATGACAACCTGTGGTTAGTTGAAAATACAAGCAAATGCTTCTGCTCTTTAGCTGTAGATACACTGGAGAAGGAACACCACATGCCTGAGACTTGTTCACAGAATTCAGAGAACATTCCAAGGCTAGGCACAGGTGGACACAAGCCTCGCTCTCTGGACCTGCTCCACCACTGTTCGGCTGTCCCTCACTCTGACACAGCCAACAAGGATGGTGAGAGGGGAGTGGGAGATGCCATTGCCAGCTTCATTCATTCCTTTTCTGCCTGTCAAGGAAGTGGCTGGAATGAAAGAGAATGAGGAACAGCTGTAATTGGTTACAATAGCAGGCAGTGAGAAAGTAGGCTCCTTGAGGAAGGCCCATTGAAGGTGTCTTGACTGAGCATTCTCAAGATTCTGGAGCTGGCACTGAACATGCCTATATTTTTAGCAAATTCCAGGTATTGAGGGAGATGTGGCCACCATGCCTCTTGCTGCTATAATATCTTAATGTCCTGCCTACTACAAAGCAATTGAGAATGGAAAGTGAGCAGTGAGGAGAAGCACAGCAGCAGCATCTTTCTCTTATTGCCTTTTAGAGGTACAGACATAAATCTCTGAGTCAAGCCCTTGTAATTTTTGTTCTACAGAAAGAACAACAGAGATGCTCACCTTCCATTTGGAAAACATGGGATTATATTAATTAGTATGATGGCTTCTTCCATTCCTTCGGAATTCAGGAGTTCAGTTTGTTCTTCAAGTTTCATGCAATAAGCAAGAGACTGGAGCCAGATGTGAGCAGAGCCTAAATGAATTATTTCCACAGGATCCCAGAATGGATCATTCTCTTTGTCAACGTGCACATCTTCTCCATCTAAAAACCGCTGATATAGCTCTTCCATTAAAAATTTTCTGTTGATGAACTTAGGTTTTGACCAAATCCATACCTAGAGGAATGCTGCAGTTTCAATCACTTTCATCTTAAGCTTTAATATGTTTAAACTAAATGCAATTTCCAAGTCATTTTGTTAGATGTTGCATATACTTTGAACAAAGAATTAGTGGGGTGGGAAAGATATACACTCGGTAGCCCAGTATGGGGCTTTGGCATTAGAAGTGACCTGGCACACTGGGACCACTCAACAGGGAAGACTTTGGATGGCCAGGGAAAACCCAGTGGGTGCAAAAATGGAGTACCCATAATGTGTGTCAACGCAACCTTCTGCTAATAGAGCCCAGCAAAACTAGTGGCTGGGACTATTTACCTGGTTAGTAACTTTGTGCACCACTTTAACTATGATCTCTTTCTGTAGGTCATACCCTCTGGAGTCAGAACATGCCAGATTTTTCACCTTCAGTTCCAGGTTTAGGTCCTGTTAAAGAAAAGTTCTCAAGATGGTTCATTATAGTTATTAAATTTATTAGACACCTTTCTCTAAAAAAAGACTCAAGCCATCTTACAGAAAAGGTTAAAACATACAAAGATTAAAAAATAAAAACAACTGAAAACAGTTGCAGAAAACCAAGATTGTGTGAAATCACTCGATCAAGAAACCCTGTCATATGCCATCAAATGCCCACAAGCAGAGCAGGGGTGAACATTTTGGCCTACAAATCCCATCAACTTTAGCCAGTATGGCCAATGATGGGAGTTGTATGCCAAAACATCTAGAGGACTACAAGTTGCTTGCCCATAGAGTACAGGAAACTCAACCTCACACAAAAAGGATGAAAATATTGGTTCTGCTTGTTTCTCAGTGGCAATCTAATTTAGAAAGTTATCCTAAGTGTCTCAAAAATAGAATGGGAATATATGCACAATGCCACAGGGTAAACTGGTTTTTCCTAGTATAAGAGGTAGATGAAATAAGCAATAGAATTTTACTCACTGCCAACAACAGGAAACAGTTAATCTCTTTTGTTTGGAAATATCCATTTAAGTACTGTATTTTTCTGTGTATAAGATGCTACTTTTTCTTAAAAACATTTACTTAAAAATGGACGTGTGTCTTATACACAGGGGGGCCAAGAGGAGAACTGCAGTCGCGCTGGGGTGCGGAGGAGACTGGCACGATTGCATGCATGCGTGGGGGGGCAGTGAGGCGGCTCACGGGGGGTGGGGGGGCGGTGTGCGTGGGTGGCAGCAGCTTGCTCACTGGAAATGGGTAGGAAAAGTGGGGGGCATCCTATACATGGGGGCGTCTTACAGATGGAAAAATACTGTAATTGTTTGTATGAATTCATAGTATATAAACAGAAATCTGAGTGGTAGACTGAGATTTACAAAGTAGTTCTTACAGCCGCCTTTCTCCTGTCTGATAATTCAGTTTCCCATTCTGAGAGGCACAAAATCTGAAGTCCTGATGTCTCAGGCATTTAGGATGTTTTGTTTGGAAATATTTTGTTTAGGATGTTTTCTTTCTCAGATTTCCAGTCTCACCCATTCAAAAAGAAAAGATATGAACCTGTAACTCAGGACAACCCAGCAACCTTATTATGCCTTGAACTACAGAGATATAGCCACCCTGGGCATCTGGTAAATCCATTCCCTGGAATATACATATGTTCTTAAATGCAGCCTCTTTCTATTGCAAGGGCCACCCACATCAGGTTCTCTTATGTCCCCAGGCAGCAAAGATCACTTGACATTTTTATTGCTAGAATTGCAGGAAGCTCTCATTCCCCATGAAGGAAATAAACATGTTTCTCATAGATTCAAGAGCTGGACTCTGATTTTGATTCATAGGATTAACCACTTTACTAATCTGTCAGCCACCATCTTACGTGGATTGTCCAGCCCACTCAATGTACTAACAGACTCTAATCCTGCAGTAAAAAAACAGGAAATACACATATTCAAACATACCTTCCTCAGCTCCACGCTCATCTGATTTGCCTCAGCCACCAATGGCATTAATTTAATATAATCATGAAACACGGCAAGGACACTGGGATCTGGTTTGCCATCCTTCCTCTTTGTGGCACCTTTAAGAAAAGTGCCTCATCATCAACTATAAAGAAGCAGAATTCGCACATGTATCTTTGGGTGGCAGGGTGGCTGGGGAGCAGAGGAACCTATTGCTCCTATCTTTGCCTTTCTGTATATTTATTTTGGAACAATCTGAAAAACCTCTAAAGTATTGGAATTATCAGACATCTGGCATCAGGGCCACCATGTATTTTGATAACACAGGCATGCAACTGCTTGTGGATGAAAAATGGCATGGCGAGCTTCATTTAAAAAGAACAAAGCCTCTGCAGTGTGATTAGGGGCAGCCCTTTAAGGAAGGGCAGTGCTTTTTTTGTCATAGAATGCACCGGAACGGAGTTCCGGCACCTTTTTTCAATGAATTATCCGAGTTTTAAAAGTAACTTTTGAAAATTTGATGTTTGGTCCACATGGATTTGAATCGCCCTGTTGAGCATAGCAGGTTGACGGCAAAATCATTAAAAGGGTGCATGTGGGCTGCTTGTGTGTCGAGTCTGATGCATACATACTTCGTCTGCGCTGGTTGTGATGGTGCTGCTCGGCTTGTGGTGCTGCTCAGCTTGTGCCTGGTTGTGTGGTTGTGCGCTGAGTGCTTACTTTGGGCGGCGACCATTATGTTTCATTACACAACTGACGTGTGTGGGTGTGTGTACAGTGATTGACTATGTACAAAAGGTAAATAATTTATTTAAAAAAATGTTGGTGAATTGAAAATCTTTAATTTTTAGTGTAAAAGTGTGACCCCAAATTTAAAAGTGAAAAAAATTACTAATTACTTCTCAACCACTGGTCCTGCTAATAAAAAGGCCAGAATATTAACAGACACAACGACAGAACACATAGATACTAACAGCAGGGAAAGGAGTCGAGAAGATTTGTTGGACGAGAATTGGACAAAACTATGGAATTTACTATGAACATTTGCCTTAAATACAACAAATTAAATTTATGTTAAGAACTGAATATATAATTTTTTAAATAAAAGATTAACAAGATGGGCACAGAAAGCTGGGCAGTTATGGAGGGACAAACAAGCAGCTTCCATCAGGGATTCATCACGCCCTGATTGGCATAATCTGTTTTTATAATACTTTATAGTGTGTGTGTGTGTGTGTGTGTGTGTGTGTGTGTGTGTGTGTGAGAGAGAGAGA